GAATATAAATTTATTTAAAGGACTTGCGCAATATTTTTAAATGCACAAATTTAGCCAAACACATCAAGTTTTCGGTACGTAAACTGTAGTACCGAAAACCGCCACCGCGGAAATTTTGCGGCGAGTTGAAGACGACGAAGGATTTCTGGACTTAGTAATTTTCAGTGACGAAAGCAAGTTACATGTCACTGTTAAGGTCAACACCCACAACTGCAGGATTTGGGGTAGTGAAAATCCACGTGCCTTCCTGGAACATGTTCGTGACAGTCCAAAAGTTAATGTGTTTTGCGCCCTCAGCAAAGATAAAGTGTACAGCCCCTTCTTTTTCATGGAGAAGACCATTACCGGCATTGTGTGTCTGGAAATGCTCCAACAGTTCTTCATTCCTCAACTTGACGCAGATGACCAGGAAGGACGCATTCAATTCCAGCAAGACGGTGCACCCGAGTTCCTCACCGTTTCCCAGGTCTGTGGATTGGTCGGGCCGCACCAATAGCATGGCCACCTCGTTCCCCGGATCTAACACCTTTAGATTTTTTCTTGTGGGGATTTGTTAAAGATGGTGCGTACGTGCCACCCTTACCTGCAAATGTAGCCGAACTCCGAACTCGAAATACCGCCCCAGTTGCTGAAGTGACACCGGAGATGCTACACCACGTGTGGCAAGATATTGACTACAGATCGGACGTCTGCCGCATAACAAATGGAAGTCGCATTGAACCATAAAAATTCAATGAACATAAAACTTGAAAGTGTTTGACTACACTTCTATGTTCTGAAATAATATGTTTCTCCTATCAGTTCACCAATATCTCACCCTCAAGTTGTAAAGCTACTTTTGAAACATGCTGTAATATTGGTCAGACTTATATCTCTCACAAGACAAGCACATCAAATACATTCTAATGTTCATGTACTTACACAACGCATGCCAAGTTCAGACAGAGATGAATCTCTTGCAGACACCAGGTTCCTTCATGCTCCCAGCAGGTTTCCTGTTCTGATATCAAGTCAGTCTGACAACTGATTGCGCACGGCAAGCAGTACGCAGGTCAGGTGACACACAGCTTGCCGCTCTGTAGAATCTAGAGGATCATTCTGTTTCTTGTAATCTGCTACTCCTAGAAAGACAAAATACATTCACACTCACATTCAACAAATCAAGATTCCTCCATACATGCACCGCACTCCTCTAAGAACATAAAGTTTTACTCCACTACACAGTTAACACTTCTACCTTAGCCAATGAACACACACCTTCCATTTTCAAGACACATTTTATCATGATCACTACAGATACACAAGTCATCAATTCAAATATGGGTCTTGACAGTGAAACAAAAAGTTACCTGACATCGTAATACTGTCCATAAAAACTCTACAACTCCTTCCCACACACATCACATCAGTCCCATGCAACTTCTGTTGCCAATGATTTGTTACTGCTATATATTTTACGTCCACTGTGCTTTAAACTCACTTTTCCTCACAAATATGGTGTTATTCGAAATCACAGCACCACAAAATATACGAAGGTTACAAATGGCACTATACTGATTTGCAGTACAGTAGGGCAAGGCATATACGGCGGGTTATGTAGGGACCATACCCCCGCCGAAAAGCGGATCTTTGCCTTATTTCAATTGCAAATGCATATCAAAGCCTAATAAGATGTTACACTATCATATCGTAAGTGCACAATAGCGCTAGGCCTAAGAAAACGATCTGAAAGTAAAATGAATATCGGTAGTAGCTGTAAACGCCGGCCGCACTTCTCTGACTCAACTGTTGAGCGCGTGGGGCGTATGCACACAATTGAAAAGCGTCCCTAATATTTTTCAGACTTAAATCTCTCACATGACAAACACATCAAATATATCCTAATGCTCATGTACTTACACAACGAATGCCAATTAAAGACAGGGATGAATCTCTTGTGGACATGAGTTCCTCCATGCTCCCAGCAGGTTTCCTGTTCTGATATCAAGTCAGTCAGCCAACTGTTGCCGCACATACTCCACTGCTTCTCTGACAAGCTGCACGCAGGTCACGTGACACAGCACGTGCAGCGACTGCCTTTATGTCGATGTTCAACATTATCGAAGAAAATAAGAAACGAAAAATGCGTTGGTGGAGTAAGGTATTGTACCAGAACCAGTTATGTGAGACATCTTAATTCGGAACTTTTCTCTTCTGTATGAAGCCAATAAAGTTGTCATCTTTTTTAAATCCTGAACTGGCATTTTCATTTGGTCACCTATGTCCTTCCATGCGTCCTCGCGTTTACTTTTGTTATGGTAATTAACAACTTTTGAATTCCACATCACCTCTTTAGATTTATAAATCTGTATGAGAGCTACACACTTTTCATTCTTCATTTTGCTACGACGGAACGCCACAAGACCGTCTCAACTGAGAGAGCACAGCACACTGAAATCCCTTTGCCGCGGGACAAAGAACTGTTCCGATTTGGCTCGACGCGCGCCAAGTTCGAGCTCGCCATTGTTCGTTCTGCCACGTGCAGCAACATGGTATCGACTTTGCAAGGCAAAGCAACGACGAACATTGCAATCGCGGCAGCCGATACACAGTTTTATTTCACCACACAGTGAACACTTCTACCTTAGAATATAGAGTAAACAAAACCAACAACTATTAACACTATAATAGACACTATTGCCATATGCGTTTCGACCTCAAGAGGTCATCATCAGTGGCATCATGGAAATTAATACATATAGTCAAATGTTTGGAACTAGATTCAGAATTAAGAATGAAAAGGTATTTGACAAGATTTTTTGAAGGGACACTGCACTAGATGCTGTTATTCACAGTAGTAAAACTTGCACTTCACGACTGATCAAATTGTGCGATGGCCGTAACTGGTCTCGCAGAGCCATCTGTTAACTCCAGAACCGTGGGTTAAAGACTGACAGGTGGAAATGCATGAGTATATATAAACTTGAAATCAGGGTGGCCAACTGCTGAAAACTTTCTCCTGTTTAATGCTAGGTCAAATAAAACGTTAGAATCTTTGGTGTTTTGTTCGTTGATGATGGCTTTGTGTTTAATACTTTTGTATATATGGAATTTTTCTAAGATATCTAGCATTTTACCCTTTGGAGCTACTCTTAATATGTCCATGATATCATCTATGGGGCCGTGTTCGAAGATGTGTTCTGCATATTTCGATTTTGTTAAATTGAATCTGATGTCGTGGACGTGTTCTTTAAATCTAGTTTTAAAATCCCTACCGGTTTGGCCAATATAGACCTGCTCGCAGCTTCCGCATTTTAATTGATACACACTATTATTATTGTATTTCTTATATTGTTTTCTTCTACCTTAGCTAAACAAGCATTACTTCACGTTTCAAGGCGAACATATTGAAATTCCTCAAGTAACTGTAGAATGCACCAAACCCGCAAATAATAAACACTTCTGAGTATATAAATGTCACTTATCAATGCCGTAAACGCCTCATGGCGTTTATTTATTTGATTCGAGGATCAACGACACATAACCTCTACCGTCAAAGAAGAACACCCCATAGTTTCCAGTCTCTTATTCCGTAACCTAATATCAGCCCAAGAAGATCGGACACAAGAAACTGACAGCAATGATTCTTGCATTATGGCATTTTAAGACCGAATATTTGCCATTATGAACTCAAATAAATTTAGCACGCAAACATCCTCCAAAGCAGAATCCCAATGCTTGATTGTATATCTGTTTTAATAATATGTGTGATTTAGCCAACTATTGCTCTCAGGTTTGCAATACATAGGCTCAACCTGGGGATATGTAAAATTCCACCTTTTTGTTTCATATATTCATTTGAGTCTCTCTACAAGGACTGAGATGACTTCTTCTCATTCAGAATGACTTACTGGTTAATCAAATACAGTTATGAAAGACAAGGAACCTTAAAAATAATACTTCTAGTATCATTATGGCAAATGTCACATAAGAAGTGGAAATTATACAAATATCACTATAATACTACTGCAGTACTTGCATTAGAGGTACGACATGCCCATTTCTTGAGTGCAGATTGGGATCTGAAAGAACAAGGCAACTGCTTCTTGTACTTGCAATGAACTATATGGATCACTGTGTAAACCACCACTACCCATTCACTTTAAATCCTTTCTCTTCATATTACGATACATCTCTGTGCTGGTGCCTGCCCAGTAGTTACATGGAATTTCTTGTAAGATACCTACTGTGATTGGTAATCATTAAATTGGAAAGCTCGCTCCATAATGATACAATAAGCACAGCCAAAAATTAAATGAAACATGATGAATCAACTTGACAGCCTTCCTTTTGTGAAGTGTAGATTACATCACAGACAACTGTTTTAAATCATGGGGATACATTGAATGGTTATAATTCTGCATTAATATATTCTAACATTCTTAACAAAACTTTCAGATAATTTCATCATGATATACAGCCAACAACATATTTTGTTAGAAGATACATCACTTCAGTCAAAAACAGTGAATCCACCAACTGACACATGTCAAGGGTTTTAAAATCCTTGCTTACAAAAGGTTAATTCCAGTCCTGCATGCCGTTTTATACGAACTGTTGCACATACAAAAGTAAGGTCCAGTTTACACAATCTAATTTCAGAATTTGAAAAGAGAGGAAGAAAATGCTCTGCTCAAGTTAAACATTGTAAAACAAAGTTTATTAATTAAGAAATTTGGGGCAAAAAGCAGATAGAAACAACGAATGTATACAAGCTCTCAATGCAAACATTATGAACTGACACATTACATTTCAGTCCTGATTATGACAAGCTATCATTCTTGTGCTGATGAATGATTTATGAACTGGTTTAATGGTGGACTTTCATATTAGAAGATTCTATTCCTGGACTGTGGTTTGGATAATCAAATACGGGCGTACCTCGGAAATATTGCGGGTTTGGTTCCAGACCACCGCAATAAAGCGAGTCACGCAATTTTTTTGGTTTCCCTGTGCATATTAAAGTTATGTTTGCACTATACTGTAGTCTATTAAGTGTGCAATAGCATTACGTCTAAAAAAA